TAATCCAAAAATTATCTGGCACCAAGTGTCACGCATGTGTGCGTACAAATCACGGCTTCCAGGGAGCTTGAGGTGTGGGCCAGGAGTGATTTCCAAAACCATGTTCCAACTCTATGTGCCCAGTCAGGCTGATACGATGTTCTTGGGGAACAAGAACTTTGCTTTTGAAACTGCAAATCTTCCTATAATTCAGAGCACAGGGTATTATTTTAGACATGGGCTGTTTAGAAAATTAGTAGACTGCCTGCTGAACAAAGAGAAAATTACATTGTTCTGAAGATAACTTGGAGCTTACTGGATACGATAATTTGCAAACCAGTCATAATTCTTTTGGAGAGCTCTGTTCTGTGAAAACCTGAGTACTATGCAGCAATTTTTTAGTCAATTGCAAAAAACACACTCAGGTATATACAATACCAAAGAAACCAAGAGGTATGTTAATTGTAACCCCACCAAATATGTAGAATCATATATGTGTGGGTGAGAGACTCACAAAGATATGGGCCAAGTAATATGAATATAGGAAACAGTGCACAAGGACCACTGACAAAAGACCTGGGCAGGCCTGTGAGACGGCAGGTACATCCTTTGTGCTGACAGCACATTTGCTGGCCAAAACCTACAGCTCAATGAACATTTGTGACGTGCCCACTCTGTAAGGTCTTCTGGAGATTCAAAGATAAGTGAAGCATAGTGCCTTTCCTCAAGAGGCCTACAGCAATTCAATGCATACACATCAGAGAAACGAATTTGGAAAGAGCCAATACAGGAATGCACAAAATGCCTGTGAGAGGGTACACAGGAGACACTTAGCTCCAACTGGCAATGCCCAGAGAGCTACCTGAGGATACGAGTCTATGCTCAGCTTAAAAGAGGCGGAGGACTGGCCAAGGGAAGAAGAGGGGGAAGGAGTCACAGGCAGTGTTACGGACGCAGAGGCCTGGAGAGAGGTGTGACCCATGTAAACCACAGGATAAAGTTCCGGGTGGAAAGTGACTGAAGATAACATTGGAGAACTAAGTCAGAGATGATCAGGTTGAAGCTTGGAAGTCACCACCTGGTCAGTACTGAGGGGTCAGGCCAGATGCTGAGAAGAGGAGGAGCGCGTGACCAGGAAGGGCTAAGGAGGTGTGGTGAGTTCCTTCCTCAGGGTCACGGTGAGGACAGGCCCACAGGTCTTCCCTTTGCCATCAGATACAGACAGGAAGCAGAGTGGGAACCATGCCAATCAGAGCTCTGCAACGTTTGCTGCTCCTCATGTATCGACCACATTGTCTCTTTAAGGGAAAAAAAAAAATCTGTCCTACATGTTCACAGTGATGGGCAGCACCATTTCTCAGAGTGAAGAAGCATTACACAAATTTTATTTGAATTTGTGTCAATGATTAACGCAAGGGGTAGCAGAGACAAAATGTACACTTGAAGCCAGGTGAACAGGCTACATAATGGTAGCGTCAGATGCATCCAGAACCACCTATAATTCAGTCTAAAACAGATTGCTTCTCTTGAATGCTCTGATTGCCTTGGCCTAATTCTTCATTTCATCACGAGGCTCTCTTCCCACCTACGACTTAAAGATCCTGAACATGATTTTGAGATTATTCAAGTAACTGCAGCATCCCCTGGGACTTGATCTATACCACAAAAACATTCTTCTGCATAATATGTCTCTTTCCAATATTTGGAACATCCACGCCCAGAGAAATTTTAAAAACCTTTCCCAAAGGGATGCTTGTGTCTTACTAAAATTTTACTCTCAATCTGTTTACAAAATTTTTATTAAGCATGTATTATATGAATGACACCTTATACAGAAAATAACTACACAAGGCCCCTGACCTTAAAAAGCTTCCATTCTAATAGGAATGATACATAAGCAGAATTCTTACCCAACTGCTGGCCCAGGCCTGTCCTCCCTGTCTCCCCATCCCAGGAAAGAGTGTAACACCTGCAGCAGCTGTCTGAACCTGAATCCTGGGAGTCACTCTTAATTCCTGGATTCCACTTTGCACCATCTCTATGGCTAAAATGTAGATCCAAGACACCATTACCTTTCTAAGGAAATAGCTTTCTAAATGGTCTTCGGCTTCTATGCCACATTCTCCAAATGGTGTACATCCTAATATTTGTATTAAGTACATCTTCAGGTTACTCTCTTGCTTAAATACTTCTAGTGGTTTGCCAGCTCTGAAAAAACAGTCAAAGCCCTTCCAATCGCCTGGCGGCCCCATGTTACCTGCCCGGGACCTCCCTGCCCTCACTTGTAGCTCTCTTCTTCCCGCTTACTACATCGCATCTACCCTGGCCCTCTCTTCGCGTCTCACTTTGGTGCCATCACACGTGCTTTCCCCTTCTGTCTAAATGCTTTCCATTCCGCACCTCTCTGTTTTATGTGTGTCATTTTCTCTCCATGCAAGTCTTAGACCAAACACCCCTACTTCATTCCTGATCACTCCATCAAGCACTGTCCCAAGACATTTGATTTCATTTCATTTTCACTTTCTGGATTTATTTTTAAATTATCTGTTGATAGCGTCTCTCCTTCAACAAGCACACAACCTGACCTCAGGATTACTAGCAAGGGTGCCCTTGTCCTGGAATCCGGCCTGGTTCACAGGAGGCATTGAGAGAGGATTTGTTGACAGACGAATGTACATTACAAAGAAGGCTAAAATAAGGAGGAAAGAAACGGAGCAATGTACAGTGAAGAAGGGACACTGATTTTTGGTTTTGGGGAAGAAAATCAGGAATAGCTTCCACAGCAGAGATCGGCTGTATTATGCCAAGTAGGTAGCCAGGCAAAAATGCGTCCCATCGTCTGGAACTAGCAAAGGAAAAGCCCCAGGGGCACAGGCTAATCCACCTGTGACTAAGCAATAAAAACAACAGCAGAATCCTGGAGCTCAGACACCTGGAGGGAGGTGGGAGAGGAGCACACACAGTGGACAGCCCAAGGGACCTGGTGAAGGCTGGGACTTTACTTTTTAGACTATAGACAGTCACTGAAAAGTTCTGAAGATGAAAACTCATATACTTTGACCTGCACTTTGTAAACACTGAGAGAAACTATTTGAACTTAAAAACTAACAACAAAAAAATGGCATTAAAGAGAACTACACTTTCTCCTGTTTTGGGGAGAAAAAAGACTTCCATCCCATGTGTACATGTAAGGCAAAGAGGGGCCCATGGCTAGTGACACTGTAGTCAAAGGAGAGGCTACGTGAAGATCACTTTTTGGTTTCCAAAGCCGTTGAACAGCCACATTACATTATCAAATGGTTTTGAATTAAAAGGCGCCACCACTGTGGAGGATAATAAAGGTAGTACCTGGATTCCAGGGTTAACTAACTGGGAGCTGGGCCAGGAGACACTTCCAAGCCAGCACTTTTCATATCACAGGACAATCTAACTAGACAATATTTAACAGATGGGATCGCACTATTTAAGCTGAAATAAACACTAAAGATCTGTATATTACATTAAACTTAAACATAAGCAATTCCGTCTTAGTCACAATAAAAGGCAACTGCTAAAACTACTGTAAGGAATTAAAGACCGACAACAAAACGTGCCTTTTGAAGCAGTGATCGTTCAGTTGCTCTGAGAGTGTTCTCCCATTTCAGAGGTCTGACTAATACGGCTTATTTCAGGACAGAATTATTTAATGAGCGCAACTTCCCCCAATGACGATATAACAAAATGGAAAGGCCGAATGGGAAAGATGAAGGCTGATACAAGGGAGTCAACTGCTGGTGCTTCCAGAAATCCTGGACAGAGGGAGGGCCCAGGAGTCCTCAGCCACAGCGTTGCACTACCTGGCTTTTTTTCTTAAGTTCAGGCAGGTGCTGGATTTGGGCTTCAGCTTGTGGCTTAGAAAACGTATCCAGAAATGTGATGAAGGACCCTCCTATGATACTAAAGGAATTCCTTCTAGGTATCTGCTTTCCACAAATCAGAACACTGTGTTGGGCTGAAGGAGTGAATGCCTTTTGGCACACGGCTCGATGTTTGCGAGAAATGCCAGGGTTGGCGGAGAGGGAGCAATGGAAAATGGAACCAGCCACGCAGCTGCAGTAAGGCAAGCAGTAACAGAGTCAAAGCATGAGTGATGGAATCAGATAGACCTGGATGCATGCCTCAGCTCTAATTATGAAACTGACGGAGAGCAAATGTATTAACATTTCCCCATATGTAAAATAGAAATAGGCTTGTGAGATTTGAAAGATCGCGGATTCAAGGTGCTTGGCATAGTGCCTAGCATATAGTAACTACTAAATAAATGACAGTTCTAGAAAATGTTGTTCTTGTTATTTTTTTCTCACCTTTATAGCCATTTGATTTACCTCCATTACTTTACATGCAATTATCCTGGTAAGAATAAAAGTATGGAATCTCACACAACTGAAAGGGCCCTCAAAGTTCCCTGTTTTTAGGCATCTTCAACATCACTGTCGTTTTATTGATGAAGCCACTAAGGACATGAGTTAAGGTGACTGTCCAAGGTCACCTCGTCACTAAGTCCATTTACAACACTCTCATTTGTGCTCTCAGCAGTCCCGTAGTGTTTGAAGTAGTGAAGATAATTTCCTGCACTACTGGATGGCCTAAGAACCAGGCTGCCTCTGTTATTACAAATAATTTATACAACGGGATAGAAGTGCGTAAGCCAAAGGGATCACGCGCTGAGTAATCAAAGTGCCAACTCTAAAATATTAGACAGTTATGAAAATGACACTGAAGCTTGTAATAACCCTTGCTAATGCTTATTATGCTGTTAAGTGAAAAATCAGAAAACACAATCCCGTTTATGTTGTGATTATAACTAAGTAAAATTATGCACATATATAGCAAGGGCTGGAAAGGAAGTCGGAAAATGATAGTGGCTGGCTTGATAAGAAGGCACCGTTGCAGTTTTATTTTTATCTTGTGACCATAATGCAGTTGGCACAATAAATGCAAAAGTGATCTTCACAGGGAAGGAGACGCTGCTGTTCACTCACCCGGGGTTATACAACATGACTGCAGACAGGTTCTCACGGGACTTCGAGAGGTCGGTCATGGACAAGCTGAAGGAGGACAGAAGGCCACTCTAAGAGCAGACACAGGGCAGAGTGGTTACCTTAGCAGAGAAGAAAAGGCACTGGTCTGGACTCATTGCTTCCAACGTGTGAGAGACAATGAGGTGCACACGCTGCTAATTAACACGCACCGCAATTAACTGGTCTATCTGAGGAAAGCAGATTGGGGCAGTAAAGCCCTGGTACATTTCAAACCCAAGCCTTCCGCTAAGCACAACAGGGACTTGGCCTTCCAGGACTGGGGAATTTCACCAGGAATTCCACAATCCAGTTGGTCTCCCCTACCAGTTAAAGTTGAGGAAAGGGGTCACAATATCTTTGTCATCCTCCATTGCCTGGCAGGCAGCAGTCTCCTGTAATCAATGACACCAGCTCACACTTATGGAGTGATAAAGATGAATGCAGGAGAGGTGAAGGGAGATCAAAAGTAAGAGCCTGACCTATTTTGCTTCCATGGGAAGCTATTGGCAAACATGTTTGTTCCCTCTGTTCCTCTGAAACTGCACCAAAAAGGACCCTCTAGGGAGACCCTGGGCTGGAGCAGATAAGAGGCTCCACTGGCTAGAACGAGCCACCCAGGAGAAGGCTGAGGTCTGCGGCTTTCTCATTATTTTCCATCTAGGGCACTGGCAACCTCGGGCACTTCTTATAAAGGAGACAGAAACGAGAGGCTGGGTAACCAGCGGTCAAGGGCAAATGCTTCTGGTATTCAAGTCAGTGCTGCAGCCAAGGCTCCCCGCTTGCTGGCTACAGAACAAGTTAGGGAGAGTCACTCTTGGTCTCTTTCTCATCTTGAACTGGGGGTGACAGCCTGAGGGTATTAGCAGCTGCTGCACAGATAAAGTGGTAGAATGTATATACAAGTTTAGCACCATTCCTGGCTCATAGAAATGTTAATTGTAGCCTTTATTATCTTCTTCAGTCTAAGGACCAGCCATGACATCCCTGAACAGATTTCTTTCCTCGTTTCTCTGGTCCTCAGCTCCCTTACCCATCAGCACTTAAACGTCTAACCCGTTAGACGTTCCCTTCCAATTAAACCAAAGTCTTTCCCAGTTGTCCTAACTCCTGCTCTCGCTTCCCACCTCAATGAAAAATCTGTTTACTGTGGCTGATTTTGGATGAATGTGACTCCAATGTTGGGTTAATTCCTAACAGATGCTGATTAGAGGAAGTCGCTCTCCACCTAACGCAAAATGATGTCCAGTTCCTTGGTGGGAAGGGCAGAAGGCTGAAGAGAAGGCTCTAGAAGGGGCAGTTTCTCCTGTCTACTCTGGAATTCACTTGCTTGCTCTCTTACTTCATCAGCCACTCATCTGCTGGGAAACAATCTCCCTAGAATCAATCCAGGTTGCAGAACTACTTTTCCAGTGGTTCTACACCACAGAATGTCAAAAGCTTAGAACCAGAGTGACCACCACCCACTCATCCCCACATCTGGTCAGTGGTTCCCTCCTAGAGACACCATGTCCCTCACCTTCCTCTTCTCCCTGAGCTTGGCAGCTTCCTTGGGATGGTTAAAGCGAAACATATTGGTTCTTCCCAAGAGAATCACAGCACCTGAGAACACACAAAAACAGTAATGAATTTACAGTAAGCAGTGTGGTCAGTTGTCATTATCATAACATGGAATTCCACTGTTGAAATGTAATTTCCAGTGTATTATAAAATAATAAGGGAAAGCTTGAGTCTCAAAAGTCTGCTTACTTAAGCCAATGTCAAATCTGCAAATGCCTTTATTTTAACAGCTGAGAGTTACAACACACATAATATCCTAATATCCATAATATCCAGCAGAAGTGATGAATATAAGCATTACAACATATTTATTATGAGATTTAAAACTTAACAGACAGATAATTAGACTTTTGATTGTCTGGAAGAAAAAAGAAACCAGTTCTCCAAAGAGAGATAATAGCAAGCAAAGCATATGATCACAACTTGAGAAATGTTTATTGATGCTGATAAAAGTAGAAATCTCAAAAGAAAAGTGCTTTGAGAAGAAAACATGATGGAGCTGGCAGAGTATAGACAACTGTTACTAACATCTTCCCCAGAATTTGACAGGAAAGGACTTGTGTACATGTATGGTCTATTTCCAAATAAAAATACTGCTTCGTGTCAAAACCCTATTAAAATTCCACATTCAACACACAAGAAAATGTCCTTTTGATTGACGAGAGTCTTCCTTATTTAGAAAACAACTGCACAAAGAGCAAAAGAATTAAAGGAATATGCCCAAGGAAAACAAAAGCGTGGGAAGAAGCAAATTTCAGCTTGATGAAGCAAACAAACCCATTCTAGAGTCACACCTATTTAAGGCAGGCACAGGTACCTGCAGGGCTGTGAGCTTCTTGTCACCAGAGGCATGTAAGAGAAATGATGTTGCAGAAGAGATTCATTGTCTCTTCTCAAGTCCCATCCATGTGTGAGAGTCCACGTGTATGGTCCCATCCATGTATGAGAGTCTACAATGCCTCACAGCATCAGTAAAGACAAGACACATGCACTGACAGCCATGAAGAATGACATGTGAGTGCTTAAGTGCCTAGCGTACTTAGCTAAATGTGTGATTAAGTGACGAGTGCAGCCTGGAGTGGCTAGGGACAGGCTTCTGCACCAAGGACATAAGCTGGGTCTCACTGGATAACCAGAGGGCAAGAGGAAGTGTTCCATGTGGGGTAATTGCAGGGAGAGGCTAAGCTATAGACAGGAGAATGGCCTGCTATGTTCAAGAGTCGTGTCCATCCACAAAGTTCAGGATGTTTGAAACAGCATCAAGAATCAATACTGGATAGATGAAACAGACTATGAAGACTGGAGAGCCAGGATGAGAGTTGAAACGAGAGGTCACAAACTGGTGGCCAAAGGAAAAATTCAGCCCACAGATGTGTTTTTTTGTGTTCCCTGTCACATTTCAAAAACAAAATCTTTAGTTGGCAAGAGTCAAAAATCTGGAGAGTTCACATAAAAGTCTGCATACCTTTCTAGCATTTCTTCAAAATTCCTAAGATATGCTATCAGTAGATCTTTGCCTGCACTTGGCAAAAATCCCTGGGCTGCAGAGGGTTGCCTCCTTTGCAGAGGTGACCTCTGGCTGACCACAGTCACTAGCCTCTTGCTTGGATAATATCTTTACCTGGCCCCTGCAAGAAATACAACACCAGATATCTATTCTGGAGCTCAGGCCAGCATATCCACCTGCCTATTCGATGTACTGTTTGGACAGCTCGAGGGAGTTTCAAATTCAATATGGTTAAAACCTAATGGGTTTAAATCACAACCGTAGGGAGTAACTGATATGGGTTGGTTTTAGTGGTTGTCATTATTTAGCAGAAACAAAGTCACTATGAAAATGAGGAAAAGATAGCTTTAGGAGCCCTAGAAGGGCAGCAGCAGATCTTATCCACTCTACAATCTGCTTATCCCTGTCACGTAAAATTGCATTTGTAGTTTTTCCAATTACGGCAAGGCACTATTACCATGATTAAAAAGGGTGGTTCCCATACCTTTTATGACTAGGACTCAGAGCAGTGTGCCGCACAGAAAGCCAAAAGCTAAGCAGCTATGTCTAGGATATACGTATATTTAATGCTGTTAAAGTTACATTAGAGATTAATAAAGCAATCATACTCCAGGTGTTAATTACATTTCCAATTCTTCTTTTTTTTCTGTTAATCAAATGCCCAGCCATGCAAGTTGAAAATTGCTAAAATATGTTAATGGAAAAATAGAATCTTATTTCAGAGACATATTTCAAATTGCATTAAATCATTGAAAATAATCTTGCCGCCCATGTTATTTGCATGAAATACACATAAAAAGCCCTTTAAGGAGTTATAAAAGAAAGCAAAGCTATTCATGACAATTTATTGTTTCCATCTAGATAACGTGAGTCAACAGTCTGGCATATTAAAAGGGGTCCATTAAGGCTGGTTTCCTTCCCTTTCTTCTACTGAGCATCTGTATTCAACAAATCTGGTGACTTTAAAAATTTGCTTCATTTTTACAAGCTGCCACTATTCATTCATTCATTTAGCAAATATTTAATGAACAGTTACTTATGCCAGTCGCTATGATAAACAGAGGGGATACAGAGTTGAGCAAGTCAGATGTACGCTTTACCTTTACAGAGCTTTAAAAAATGTCAAAGAGAGAGATAAATAATCAAATAATGAAATAATTCCGCAAATAAATGCAAAACAGCAACTGAAGGAGAAGAATTGTGTCCAGGGCTCAATGAGCAACAATGATGTGGGTTTATTACAGGGGAAGTTAGAGAAAGGTATCTTCGAGGGAGGTGGTGTCTAAAGCTCTGAGAACAAATTGGGGAGAGTGTCATGTGTAAAAGCAATAATGATCACAACGACGACTGATGAAAATAATGAGGAGGAAGAGAACGCCAAGAATGAGTGACTGAAGACAGCCATGGCTATGTGGCTATGGCAAAGGAAACAAAGGTGAGCACTGCACCAAGGTAAGGCTTGAGAAGGAGGGACAAAGTAAACCAACTCAAACGTTTCAGGATGTAAAAGATTGTGTCTTTTATCTAGTTGCAAGAGGAACACACGGAAGGGCTCTGTGTAGCAGCATAATAACATGATTAGATTTCAGTTTCAGAAAGATCATTCTTGCAATGGTGACTGAAGAAAGGCCACACAGGGCAAGAGTGGATGTGGCCAGGCAAGCTAGGTGGCTACTACAGTGGTCCCAATAAGTGATAATGGCTCAGGACTGGGGGAAAGGGGTAGCACAGCAGTCAAGTAAAACAAAACTAAAAGATATGAAGGAGATAAAATCCACAAGATTTGATGATGGGCTAGATACAAAGAGGAGAAGCGGGGAAAGGAAGATGGCTCCTGGGTTCTGGACCGCATCGCTGGTTGGACGGGGAGTCTTCTACACAGACTGAGAACGCTGGAAAAGGACCAAGATGGAGTGGGGAAAAATCATGAGCTTGGTTTTGGACATAATGAATTAGAGATGCATTTGGCAAGTGAAAATATGGGTTTGAAGCTCTAGTATAAAAGTCTGGGATGTCAATGTATCTACCACATGAAATTTATTTATGCTTCATCTACACTTACAGACAGTCCTGAAAGTAACTTTAGACAATATTTTAAATAATTTTGTGAATGAAACAAAGTTAGTGTACAGTGAACCATCAGAAAGCAAAGGTGCTGCTATCTCAGCCACCCATGTGCACAATCTGCAGTGCTTAGCATCACCATCATTCCTGATTCTAAATTTATACGCTGCTGATAAGCAATCACCTGGTGATCCAGGTCTTTTTGTTAGCATAATCATGAACAAGTAGGAAATTCACTCCTTCAAAACGGGAGGATGTAAGTTTTTGCTTATCACAGGAATTTTACAGTCACGCATGTCTGCTGCATTAGCACATCTCAGCACAGTTATTCTGATATTGGCACCCTTGATTGCTGCAGGGGCTGCCACATCATCTGTAGTCAGTGTCTTTCTAGGGCAATAATGCCAAAACATTGATGTTTCATCAGCATTACAGAATTGGTCTGTGTCAGATTTTCATCAGCGATGACCCTGACAAACTCTCAATAAATTTCTCTGCTGCTTCATAGTCAGCAGATACTTTATCACCACAATTTTTAGAAATTGCTGTGTCTGTTCCTAAATGTCTGCAACCAGTCTGTATGTTCACACTTTCCTTTAATTTTTGGTTCACTGTGTTAGATTTTTGCTTGTTTTCACGATCAGCTTCCCATGAAGTGGCAAGTTTTCACTGTGACACTGACTGGATCCACTCTTTTAATACACAATTGAGATCTTCACTTTCAGCGTTATGCAGTGTCTTTCTATTTTTTATTTATGTGTGTTTATTACTTTCAGCATATAACTTAGACTTCTGTTTCTTCAGGTCATATATGATGGCCACATCAACACTATACTCTTCTGTAAGACACTTCACACTTAACACCACATCCAGTTTCTCTAACAGCTTGACTTTCTGTGCTACAGATCAACATAAATACTTCCTGTGCTTCCTATCACTGTTGCCCAAAGGGGTAGCTGCAGACCTTTCTGACATGTTCAAACATTATCTTTACATCACAAAGGAGAGAATAAGTAAAACAAACAAACAAGCAAACAAAAAACCAAAAACACAGTGAGTAACGCACGCAGGTCTTGGTCCTGTGCAGGGTATCATGGGGAACCTGCTACTGTCATGTATGGCCTGAACACCTGCTGTTTTATTATCCTCTGTCGACATACTTATATGGGGGAATCTGAACATGTGCGGAAAAGATTCACTGCAGCTGAAGGGGACTAAGGGGTCTCTTTTCCTTTGTGGGTAGGAATAAGCTGTGTATGTGATGCACCTACGTTTTGAATGCAACCACATCACATGAGGTCAGGTTTGGAATTTTCCATTTGTGTCCTCATGTTGGCCCTCAAAAACTTTTGGACATTTTGGATTTCTGATAAAGAAAGTTCTGTGTGTGTGTGTGTGTGTGTGTGTGTGTGTGTGTGTGTGTGTAGGAGAGTCATTGCTAATAAATGAAACCACAAGAGCAGGAAAGAAA